GCAAGTATGCTCACGTTACGAACTAAGCACTTCCTGAATCGTCTAAATTGCTTCCAGTTGCTTCATACCACCACGTTTTTGTGTGGAAAACAATATTGCCAGCGTTATTCAATCATCCAATCCAGTCGATAAGCCATCTGCTATTCCTATCGAATTTATGACAACGGGGAGCATGCAACAAAGCATTTTGGAAGCCTCTAGTCCTTTAGGCACAGTCGAGCACGTCGCCGATTCCAGAGTCTACTCAGCATCACGTTCCTGCCATCAAAGCCGCCCCGTTCCTGTGCCTGAAGTAAGATTGGAGGTCTTCCAACCTGCACTTCCAGGCGAGTACATGGACTGCAGAGCAATTTCTTTCCCTGAACTTCCACTCGTTTCCAGCTCGCATCGTGGTTCTACATTAGCGGATGGCGTTGGAACGTTCTAAACAGCAACGCCACTGACATTCGATCAAGTTTGACCGGCTCAAGTGACGGAAGCATTACGGAAATTCATACCCAAACTAACACCCTTCGGAATCAACCCGATCAACAAATTGCATCGCTTGGAATCAAATCAAAACCAAATCCGTCCGAACAGTTCATCTCTATTTATTATCAGTACGTCAGAGGCTTACGGACCAAAATTGTTCAGCTACGCTTACTACTGTCTGGCTGTGATTATGACGTGCTAGTTTTCACAGAGACTTGGCTACGAGAAGACATCGGCAGCGCTGAAATCTCTTCGGATTACACCTTATTCAGATGTGACCGCAGTGAATTGACCAGTCAGTACTCGCGTGGAGGAGGAGTGCTCGTCGCGGTCAAAAACAACATCGTTTGGGAACCTGTCACTTTACCGAACTGCTACCAACTGGAACAAGTGGCAGTTTGCGTAAGGTTGGGGCATCGTTCGCTTTACATCGTCACTATTTAACTTCCGCCGAATTCATGCTCCGACTTATATTCAAGCTCATGCAAAAGCAGTTCAGCATATGTCAATCCGTTCTTCAGAAGGTGACATAATTCTATCACTAGGTGACTTTAACCTATCGAATTTGCGCTGGCATTTGGATGGTGATATAAATGGTTACATTCCCTCAAACATTTCTTCGGAACACGAACAATTCCTCATCGAAAATATGTTTGTAAACGGCTTCCAGCAGATAAACAGTTTCGTCAACATGAACGGTAGACTTCTCGATCTCGTGTTTGTCAACCTACCTGAGCATCTAGACGTCATCGCACCCTCTACTCCACTGTTACCCGTTGACAATCATCACGAGCCATTCATTTTACTACTCGACGAGAGCAGCGACGATCTGGCTGCAATTGACGACCAAGACGAGACTTTCAACTTCGATTTTAAAGCATGCGACTACGATCGTTTGCTGGTATCGACTGGGATCTTCTACTGCAGAACAGAACAGTTATGAAAAGCTGTACGAAGTTTTATCGAGCATGTACCTTGGAAAAGGCGACCCATTACCTCAGTTTTCAGCAAACCATGGTGGACTACCGAGCTGAGACATCTCCGGAATAATCTCAGGAAATCACGCAAACGGTTCTTCTTAACAAGGACTGATAGCGACAAAGTTAACCTCCGCGAAGAGGAAACGTCGTACAAGGAACTTCTTTTCTCGTCATATAGAAACTATGTAGGGTAAACGCTCCTATAGTTGCGGTACGTTAGAAGCGTTAGGTTCCTATAGTTGTGTATGGAGACTCCATACACAACTATAGGAACCTAACGCTTCTAACGTACCGCAACTATAGGAGCGTTTCCCCTATCGGGAATTGAATCTTGTTGTGAAACAAAACCCTGCTTCTTTCTGGGATTTTGTTAGGAAACAGAAATCTTCCAGCCGGATTCCATGTAACGTTCATTACGGAACTCATGCTTGCACCAACGCTGAAGCTGCTGACCTGTTTGCGACGTTCTTCGAGAGTGTGTTCACTAATGTGTCACCTGTACTTCGACATGACAGCTTTGCCCATATTACTACACATAACATCACGCTTCCTGTTCTCCAGTTTTCTTCAGAGGAAATTCAAAAACCTCTTGAAGATGTAGAAACGAACAAAGGGCCTGGGACAGACGGCATTCCTCCACTGTTATTGAAAAAATGTTCGCCAAACACTAACATTTCCAATCGCTCGATTGTTCAACCGTTCGCTGCAGGACAGGACTTTTCCAACTGCGTGGAAAACGGCATCGATAATACCAATCCATAAATCTGGCAGCTGTAATCGCGTGGATAATTATCGTGGGGTGTCTAAACTTTGCCGCCAAAGCAAGGTTTTGGAAAAGTTGGTCCACAAGGTCTTGTATAATGCCTCTTCCTCGATTATCTCGGAGAGCCAGCACGGGTTCATGAAACTGTCTCGTGAAATTGAACAAAGAAGGCAATTAGACGCGGTGTATATTGATTTTGCTAAAGCGTTCGATACTGTACCGCACATTCTAGTCACTGATAAAATGAGGCACATAGGATTCCCCGATTGGATAACAGAGTGGCTTTTGTCGTACTTATCGAATCGAAATGCTTATGTGGTTGTTAACTCTGCACGATCCCATTCATTCAACATCATGTCTGGTGTACCGCAAGGTAGCGTTCTCGGTCCTCTAATCTTCAACATTTTTATTAACGACCTGTGCATACTACTTTCATCATTTAAACTTTCCTTTGCCCATGATCTCAAAGTGTATCGCATCATTGCCTCGTCTTTAGACTGTGACGCTTTGCAGGAGGATATAAACGTCATGCTAATCTGGTGCGGTGACAACGGCATGCGCATTAACAGCAAGAAGTGCAAGATAATATCTTTCACTCGCTGTATCGGTCAAACTCACCATCAGTACTATATGGACGCAGAGACACTCGAACGGGTAAGTTCGATCTGCGATCTGGGAGTCCCCATCGATTCAAAGCTGAGGTTTAACGATCATGTAGGGATTATATCAGCCAAAGCTTTTTCGGTATTAGGATTCATCCGTCGACACGCTTCTGACTTCACCGATGTATATGCTCTAAAAATACTCTCTCGGTGTGGTGTGCGAACCGAATCCGTTGGTGCGCAGTATCCTGGAGTACGCTGCACCAGTTTGGTCACCGTATTACGTAACACAGACTCTGACGATCGAACGTGTGCAGAAAAGGTTCGTAAGATTCGCTCTTCGTCAACTTCCTTGGAACGATCCAGAAAATCTTCCTCCCTATGTCGACCGATGCCAGCTGATTAAACTCGAACCTCTTTCTGCCAGGCGAGTCAACAAGCAACGCTTGTTTGTCTTTGACCTCATCAAAGAATACATCGATTGTCCTGCACTTCTTGAACAGATTCCACTGAATGCTCCACCCAGACGCTTCCGCCACTCGCCACTCCTAGCGGTTCCTTATCATAGGACAAACTACGGCCATAATAATCCATTCGACTCGTGTCTTCGAGCATTCAATGACGTTAGCGATGACTTCGATTTGAATTTGTCTAAACATGTGTTTAGTAATAGATTAAAGATAAGGTTTATGTTTAATTATAAGTTATTCAGTCTGTACGACTAATTTGAAGATGGTGTACATAATAAATTTTAAAAAATATAGCCAAAAAGGTGAAAAAACGTGCCTATAGTTAATTGGGATTAGCTTTCATTCGGTAGGATTTAGTGTTTCTTTGGAATTTCAAGCACTTAATGTCTATTAACTCTTTCTAATCATTTGTGTTCGACTGAACTTGCCCTGGGGTTTGAGTTTACCGGGCATCCAAAACAACAAGTGGTCCACCTGTTACGGTGACGCTTAAGCCATTTGTTTTAAAACCAATCTACGGAAAGCCCCTAGTAGACCGATTTAGGCTAGCTACAACCATATGACATTCGAGAGCAAGGAAGAAAACGCAACTTCAAAACGAAAAAGTACTCTTTTATGAGAAACATAGCTTCTAGATTAACATTTCGGTGCCTTATCGCAGCAGATCTTGGGGCACATCCTGGCGTAGCACTCCAGCTGATCGTGGAAGCACCGATTGATGCAGTACGGACTGCACAGTTCTTTGAAGCCCTGCTGAGCCGTGACGGTGCCGATGGGGATGACAAGCAGGAAGATTACTGCCGTCAGTAGTGGTAGAAGTCCAAAGATCCGGAACAGCAGAGCCATTTTGATTGGAACGTTGTTGAATGCAAATTGGAAACTGTATTCAAACTGTCCACATGACTTTGGTTTTGAGCCTGAGCCTTATCAGTAGGTTTGTGGGTTATTTAATTGATTATGGTTGGATTAAGTAAATCAGTTCCATTTGAGTCTAAATCGTCTCGGTAAATTTGCAGCTTTTCCATCGCTTTATTTTAAAATTTCAAGTTTTTTTCATATATTTGAATTAAAATGACAATCATCAAGGAAACAACCAACACAAGTCGGCTTCGGTGCAGCAGTACTCATCGCACCCTTCAGCGAGCCTACACTCGTCCAAACTGTTCCAGCACTGCAATCCACAATTGATACTACAGAGATGGTCTGCTTCGGGATTTTCCGTTGGATAAACCACTGACAGTGGTGAACCTTTAGAAAAGTTCATCACAAATGATAAGAAAATCATCATAACCGATACAATATACAGTACTCGTTCCATATTCATGCACTTGAACTGAACTGAAATCACCTTCGTACGTACGATCCCGAGAAAAATTAATTATTCGTCGGTGTAAGAAAACAAAGCGATGCTAATCGTTCTGGCCGGCCGACTGGAAGTCGCTAAACACTCTGCCAACGTGCCTTCCTACAGGGCAGAGGTACTGAGAGCTAGTGTATGGACGCTAATTAATAGCCGACTGCGACCCGTCACAGTCAGTGTGGAGGTGAGTGCATAGATGTGATGATGTTACGCAATTGCATGGCAAGTCACACCGAGATCGATAATGAGTGAGAAAGATTTCAACATTGATGGTAATGAAGTCATGTGGTTGGGACTGAGTAGTGTGATCTTTCATGAACAAAAAAACTACACGAATGCAGAATTCTAGCTAACCTTCTTCGACGCTTCTCCCTCTTGGCAATGATCGGTTGCCAGAAGGTGGTCGTCCACGCATCGCTGGAATTGCAGGGCCAGAACAAAATAGTTGCAAGGCTTGTGAAATTTGTCCACGATTAAAACAAGCGAAATACGGGCACTCACTTGGCGTTCTTCGGCTTCCGTCCCTCGATGATTTTTCGGATGTGTCTCCGCAGATAGATTCCATCGTCGTCGGAATCCGTCACGCTGACTCCGACGGCGTCGTCCTCGTCGACTTTGCAGTTGTGATCGTCGTCGTCGTCGTCGGTTCCATTGCAAGGCACTAGCGGTGTTTTGTGATGTGTCGGTGTGGTGTGCGAACCGAATCCGTCGGGGTTTAGCTGGAGGAAAAGAAAATAAAATCGGAATTCAACATTTAAAATTCAGTATATTCAGCATGAACAGCATGAGCATGAGCATGAGCATGATGGAACACAAACCCGCCGTCGTCAAACAAAAAAAAAAAAAAAAATCGGTGACAGGGTTGCTGTCATTCACTTGCTATAAAAATTTTTTTTCGGAATCATGAAATCATTAGATGATACAATAATATTTGGCACGTATAAGTAACAATAAGGGGTTGTGTTCGACTCATAAACCTGTCAATTTCGCTTTTAGAGCGTCACAATCAACAATTTTATGATTCGTGAGCGTTCACTCAAGGAACTATCTCAAAATAATGTTTTATTTCAAAGTTCGAGTGGTAGTAAAAGTCATTTAAACTGCTCGAATGAAGTGGTTAATTCATCAATGAACTTTTACAGTTACCTACCCGCTTAAAAATTAACAAAAATATTATCAGTTATGTCAGGCAAAATGGCTGCTTCCATCGCGAAAAATGAACTATACTGCTGCTCTTCGCATGTCCGTCCCATGGGGAAGATCAACAAGCCGAGAAAATCGTACTTTAAGTTTGATTCGTACCATTTCTTCTTATGTGATGAGACAACCAATCAGGCTATCTTTCCAAACTTTTTCAGAACAAAGTTATTAACTATAACCGTAGAGGTAACTTTAAGACCCGAAGGTCACGAAGAAACGTGCTCAACTTTTTGTCACAGCTCTGGTACTCTCTTCGGTCCCAAGCTAATCGATGTTCCCCTCGAAACATAGGAAAATGTACGAACCCCTCATTTTATCCATCAAACTTTCATAAAGAATTAAAGTTCAACCTCAAAAACTTATAACACAAACAGGTAGAAGAATAGTTTCTCTATGATTTTGTATAGTTTGTTCGCGAGATTGTTCTTTTATTCACGAGAAATCGGCAATTGATGTGATTGTTTACAAAAGCAATTACACCCAAATCTCATAGTTATCCGGTTATGCAGGAAAAAAGATTGAAGACGATTTGAAGATTTCCTGCAAAAAGATGATGCACAATGCAAGTAGATGCGAGAAATTGAAGAAGATTTTTCGAAGATTGATTCGCTAGTGTGAGCATCTAGAAATGAGATTTAGATGTGTCGCCCCGCTCGGAGTAACCAACGTTTTTGTGATTGTGAGTGAAATCCCACTGAATTTTGAGATGATGTCATCGGCCGTGCATTAAAATTCCGATTAGGCCCTTCGGACTATTACTTCTAGAGCAACAAGTGATAATGTATTATGTGCCGAATGTAAACAATGGCTTTAAACGTCGATTGCTCATGAATCACAACACGTCAACGCAAACAAACTACACTATTTGATAGAGAAAACTTACTGGTTGGAATAAATGAGTCTTAAACCGCGAGAAATCGACGTTTAAAACCATTGTTTACATTTCGAAGATTGGCCCATTTCACATGTTGCTCTAGACTTGACTTGACAGTTCGTTATATGTGGGTTCGTGAGATGATCTATTTGGTTTTTATGTTGATTCTAAAAGCATCGTGGTTTATGTTATGTGGATCAACCGGAAAGAAAACACTGTCTCTTTCTTCCTCATCAGTTCTTACGCGAGAAGTGTAGGTGACGTCAACAATGTGGTTACGTATGATTGATAAGGATTGAAAAAGAAGCGTGATTTCACATGCCGGACCTTTGTAGATCGAGGGTCATCTTCGATAGGCCGAAGTTGTATCCATTTATAGACCCAATTTGAGTACAGTAGACCGACATTACATCCACGTACCTGGAGGGTTTGCATGTTAAAATGGTGAGTTTAAAAAATTTCCGTTGTGTCCAACTAATATCCAAATAATATGGATATTTAGGCTTGTATGTTGGCAGTGAAATATCTTTTGAAGCTCAATTATTATGGCATAAAATGTAATTGAAGGCTGCATATTAGACCAAGGTTAAGGACATTGTACCCTACTAGAGTTCCATTTACTGATATTTTTAAGGGAAATTATTGCATTTGCACTATTTTTTTGGCCTTGTAACCGAACATCAGTTGTTTGTATATTTGATAATACTCGATAAATGTAGAAGAACAAGCGACAATTTAGTTCAAACTTAAATAACTTCGGAGTTTCCTTATCTCATCGATTTGGTATACTCAGGATAAATTAATCAAACATAATTGCTCAATCTCATGAGCGTTGTTAGAGAGGGGGGGGGGGGGGGGGGTATTCTTTACGTAGTTTTTCATCGAAAATGGTTGTAGTGTAAATATTTAATATACACTTGTCCGTACAGTGAGGTGATGTTGTTTGAATTATTAGCAGTTGGGAAATTTTAAATTTCAACATCAAGCTTTAATTTTAAATATTAAACTGCCACTCTCATAAAGAAAACCAAAAAACAGAAGAAAACGAAAACATTCTTCACGAGTTTCGTCTCAGACACAGGCACAGCATCGACGTGGACCTTCTTACCGAGACCCACCTCAAGTCCGGTGACAGCTTCCGGTTGCCGAACCACAGCATTATCCGGCTTGATCGCACCAATTCCAGGGGGTGGTGTAGCGGTCATCGTCAGGAAGGAAATCAAGTTCTGCACTCTGCCCCACATTCACACTTCTACCATCGAGGCCGTTAGTGTGGAGGTGGAATCACCATCTGGAAACATTCGGTTTATCGGTGTTTACACGGGAAAAAAATCGATCTCTGAAATGAGAAAAATGGCTCATGATTTCATGAACACAGCCTATTTTCATGTTATGAAAATACACCATGAATAATGTTCATGATATCATGAGCAACTTTTCCGTAACGCAGCATACATTCCCAAAATCATGAATCATCCAAGTTGAAATCATGAGCAAAATTCATGGGTTTAACTTTTAACCAAAAAATTCAAAAAGACTAGATTCGAACCAAGAACCTTGAGATCATTAAACCCATACCCACTAGACTATCAGAACTTGTATAAAATGGAAGACAAAAGGCTTATAAGAGATACCTATATAGTGTGGTTTATGAACACGGTTTGCCAAGTACCGTAAAACGGGGTAACATTAATAGTTTTTTAAAGTATATTCTAAATAATATTTACAGCAATGAATGTTTTTCAAATTTTATATTTTAAAAACAAGTACTGAGGATCCAAGAGTCAGTTTGTCAGTAATATGTTTAAAGGAAATTAAAGCATTTGCACTATTTTTTTTAAGTTTTGTGACCGAACTTCAGTTTTTGATTTGGGGTTACTTTGATAATGCTCGATGAATGTAGAAAAATATGGTTGAAACTCAAACAATTAAGTTCTTTGAATATGAAACTTTGAATGAGTATATAATCAGAAAACATCATAAGCAATAAGAATACCACATTGAATTTGTGATGGCTAAATCGGAAATACATTGCATAAGTGATGGTTTGAGTACTTTTTCAAACAGGCGAAAAACACGAAAAGTGTTTATTAATATGTTTATAAAATATGTAACACATACTATCTAAAAACAATATACAATATCAACGGAAATACCCTGAGCTACAATATGGAACCAATGCTTCTAATTTGGAAAAAGCGCAACGAGTAAATTTAATCTTTATATTATACTATCGAAGTAACCCGCATTATCAATGATACCCCGTTTTACGGTACGTGTAACGCTTGTAGCGGTCTTGATTTCACTGCATTATGAAATCATGAATTTCCAGGACGAAATCATGAATCATTGTTACGATTACATGTGATGGCAAGTTTTTTGATTTCATGATTTTTTATTCATGAAAATGGAATCGGATTTGTTTCCGTGTACTACCCACGCCAGTGTACCGCAATCAACGGACTAGGAATCCAATTCAAGAACGACCTGGCTGCCATCACCCGTGCTAGCTCTCGATTCATCGTTGGGGGTGACCTGAATGCTCGCCATGAAGCTTGGCAGAACTACCCGGAACGGATGTCTATTGTTCAACAACGCACAACATGGACTGTTAAGACCAGTGATGGCACGAGTACTAGAGTTTAACGTTTTTTCCTTAACATTTGATACTTTGCGCAATGACCATAGAGAAAACACACAAACACAAACTGGCAAGCTGAAAAAATGTCATGACATTTCTAAACTGTTTTCTGCAGGCGACAGAACATTTCCACACAATGAAGCAGACAAGACCAGCGGCGCGTGCGACATAAATTTATGTCATGTAGAATTTTGCTGATTTCTGGCTAATTATAGCATTTATTTGATGTTTATTGCATGAAATTATGAGATAAGAATAAATACTAACCACTCATAAGCATGGATGTTAAAATTATGAGTAAATAAGGGAGTTGATAATTTAATGTCACACACAAGCTTGCAGCTAAAATGTAAGTTCAATAAACTGTTTGAAAAATAATGGGCTACGAAATTTTTCCAAATCTCTATCTCCGCCGTTTGCTTGTAATGTAGAAATACACGACCGCCCGTGTGCTGGCTGTTTTGTTTTGCTCTGGACGATGGTTTTGCAAAAATTGTACTGTTGCCACCACTGGTTAAGACTACCACCATGTCAACTGGGTGCAGTACGGACGAATGGTGGACACCAACATCGATGAAAATTCATTGCTCGACACCCTAGATGACATCGACCGGGCGTGCGTTGGAAGGACTCTAACAGGCCATATCTGTGGCTAACGAGGCAAGCGTTCGACAAGTTCCTGTGTTGTCCAGAATCTGTACGACCGCTCCAGACCATTCTGGAAGGTAGCCAAGGTCCTGAAAACTCATCCCAAACCCATTCCACCTCTCAGAGTCGAAAATGATGACGATCGGCTTTTAATCACCCCACAGGAGAAAGCAAATGCGATCGGTGAGCATGTCGCTTCATCGCATTTGCTTGGCTCGAATATCCAAAGTCCGCTCGAAGATCAGGTTGCGCAATGCATTCAAACCCTAGATGCCTCCCCTTGGTCGTGCAGTCTCTTCTAACTGCTATCTTCAACAGATGCTTATAACTGCACTACTTTCCAAGCATCTGGAAGG